GACACTGAAGAAGCAATTTTTTTTATGCAGGAGGAGGGTTTATCTGACATGAGAACAGTCTGGGCCCAATATCCCATAAAAGGATTTAGCCTTTTAGGATTTTTTCTTAATACTACTTACTATATGTAGATTGTGGGAAAAGCATTTCATAATTCTTGACCATGTAATCTGAGAAGGCACCTGGAATCAAAGAAAGAGTGAAGATAAATCCAGAACTGTTTTATCCAGAAAAGACAGTGATTTCAGGTTCCTTTTCATGCAATAAGGTGACATGAGCCTGTCATGTTAAGTTGCCTGCTTTGTGAGACACCTTGCTTATTGAGACTGGATATCAGATTTTGAGCATTCCATGCTGAAGTAGAGAACGAGTTGATGAATAGTGGAAAGCCTACAGGACAAGTGCAAACAGCGTTAGTTTTGGTGCAGTGTTTCCAGGTGCTGTGTCTTTCTAATCTGTTTAGTGATGAGACAGAATTATAATCTGCAGCCTTATTTTGAGTTCGGGAGGGTTTTTGCTTGTTTGTTTGTTTTTCTTTCCTTAGCATGTTTTTGGTAGCTTTTAATGAATTTTCCCAGAATCATTTAGTTTCAAAGGGACCTTTTGAGATCACCTAGTCCAACTCCCCTGCTCAAGCAGAGTCAGCTAGAGCAGGTTGCCCAGGATCGTGTCCGGTCAGGTTTTGAGTATCTCCACAGGCAGAGACTTCACCACCTTTCTGTGGAGAGATTACACAACCTGTTGCAGTGCTTGGTCACCATCACAGCGAAGAAACAATTGATTTAGATTTAGGGAGGCTGTGAAAGCTGTGTCTCATTCATCACAACTTATTGCATGTTCCCATTACTTAAAAAATAAGTCAAGAATCTTTCTCATAGCCTTTGTGGCTTTTAGAAGGGTGGGGGAGAATCAGACTAATTTTAAGGACATCCTATAGCGAAGCTGATATGATAGTGAGAAATTATCTGAATGTTGCTGTTCCTGAAATCTCTAAGTGGTGGATTTCTGTGCGGTTTTGCTTGTGATGTCTTGATAACATCTAAAGACAATACTCTTCTGAATGATAGTAGAATGTCTGTATTCTGATATCATTATTCAGGACTTGTTTTCAGGGGAGAGTGCAAAACCACTTAACTTACGCTGTAAGGGGTGTTCAGTTGTTCCATTATCCATCCTCTTTCCTCTATACTTTAGTTTCCTTCATACAGGAGATTCTATGGTTACCTGGGAAAATTCCAGTGTGGTGACTGATCCCATGTCACCCATTTTTCTGCATAAAAACCAGAGGGATCAATGAGATGCATGTGTAAATTAAATGAATGATGCTTAAAAGGGGCAGAAGGAGGCCTCCAAATAAATTTCTAATGACAAACAGACAATCCTACAACATGTCAACGAGCTTGTTTTTAGGAGCAGATGGTTGTCAACAGTTTACTTCTGAACTGAGTATTCAGGCAGTTCTTACCCATCTTAAGGCTTCCATAGTTCTGAATTTTGAAGTCGCTGCTGAAGTATATGCCAGTCTGAGTGAAAGCCATATTTTCAGATGGAGAAAGCTTCCTAGAGTGATTTATACAAGGGCGATGTGGTAGAGTTAGTGGGCTGTGGGTTGCATTTGTCCCGAAAGACATTGAGGGTTTTTTTGAGATGTGGGGATCAGGCCTACCTATACATAGCTCAGCATTTGAACTGCAGTGAAGTTACTGTGTTGACAAAGTCTGCCAGGAAGATTTCAGATTAAGTCTATGTGATTAATGAAAGTAGAACTGTTTGTATTAATGAAAAAAAAAAAATCAAATTGTTAAATGTACATGGAGTAGAAAAGGGTTATAAGCAGACTATGAAAACTTGGTTTAAATGACCTCTTACAAATTAAGTAATTTGAGGGTCTGTTTGTCTTGCAGGAAAAGAGCAACCCTTTTATTGACATATGCAAGAAGTGACAGGTTGTTTGGAAGATGAGAAATCCATCAATGAAGGAGCTACATATGATGTAGATCTTTAAGATTTTGAAGGTACTTGGGTGCCTGCAGATGAAAGTAGGACCCTATTAAACTTACGGAAGTGCCTGTTTCTTCTTGTAATTGCCTGAATGCTTTAAAAGTCAAACCTTTGATTTGTAATGTCTGAGATGGTAATACAATTACAGTGAAAATAAATAATTTTACATTTTACTGTGACAGAATTTTGTCCTTTAATTATCTGTGTTATGTCACCATATAGTTTGTCTGACTATAAATTCTAAACCAATACTTGACCAGGGCTTTTTGCTTGCTCCCACCTCCCTTCCTTAGCAGTAATAATGTAACAACAAATACTGGCTGTGTCAATTCTCAGATGTCTTGGGGTTTGTACTCCTCTAACTTATTTTCTTGTTTCTTTTTTATTTCCAAAACTTTACTTGCTTGCTTTCTTCATTTGAAATCTCCATCTTGACACAAGACATTACTTAATATTTAGTGGACACATACCTTCTTTCAAGGTATGAAGTCTCATGTTACCAGCAGTTTCACTAAAATGAGAAATCTTCTCTCATCATGGATCAGAACGAGAGAACTGTCTATGCATTACATTCCTTGAAGTTCTTTGTAAATAATTGTCCAGTGGTTTTGACTTTGAAAAGTGGAAGTAATGGGCAAAATTGAGGAACAAGACAGATTTTAATCACGTCTTATATGGGTAAATGGGTATACCAATACATAGTTAATTCTATAACTTTTTTTCTTAAATTAGTACAGTATTTAACAGTGAAGTGGAAAGCAGTAGTTTGAGTAGTTCCTGAAAGCATCCTTCAGTTGACAAGCATCAAGAATAGTTATTTTTTATGAATATAATTACCCTCAAAACCTGTATTCACACCTGTGGTAACGTTATTTGGGCACTGAAGGCAATTTTTTAACTTCTGCCACAAATGATAATGGAAGCTAAATGAGAATGTGTTGAATGGTAATTGCAATGCTGCAGAAGACTTTCAAGTTGCATTTGATAGACACTAGATTTCTTTCTCTGCACTATGCAAATAAACTTGTTTGAATTCAGTTTCTTTCATGTTTAGCAGCAGTTAGTCAATTAAAATAAACTTTCACGTGTTCTATTTGTGCGGTTTACAAGTACTGTTACAAAGTGCTGAAATCCTTTTTTGTTTGTTTGTTTTTTAATCAGTGGGAATTTTTTAGAGTGAGTCCTATGGTTCTTTATCCCCAGTATGTGTCGAACGCAATTTCTGTGTGTAGCTCTCAAAACTGGTAAGTGAAACTTCTCAAACTTGTTTTTGTGTATGATTCATCAGTTTGTTTACTAGTAAATATATACAAAGGAGAATGACTATTAGAAGGACACATGACCTACTAGAACTTCCCCCCCTCCCCTTCAGCACCTAATGGACATGAAGTTCTAAAGCAGGTTATTTTAAGAATAATATAGTTTTTCCAGTGAAAAGGAAAAATCTCAGTGTAGTGTGTCAGTTTTCACTTAAGGATTTACCCTGCAGTGGTGTCACATGTCACTGTATTTCCTTTGTTGGTAGATCAGTAGTGACAAAAGAAAACATGGGTTGCACTAGACTGACAGCTTGGCATAGGAAGAAAGCCAGCCAGATCTTCAGGAATATGCGTAGTTTTACTTTGCTAAAGACAAGAAATTTTTAAACTGTCGCTGATCTGTCATTTGTGAATGCAATACGGCTGTTTGGGTGCCTTTTTAAGAACGAACAGATCTGTAGTATCATGTCAATATGAGAAAGGTTTGGACTTCAGTATTATAAAGCATTCAGTTTTGATGATTACTGTAAGAAGATTTAAAGGTGAAATTTGTCTCTAACGTGGGCACCTAAATTTAGTTGTGCAGACATCACTTTCTGACATCCACATTTCTATGGAGAACCTTGGCTCCGTTGGCTTTATTCGCAAAGGGTTTGATTCAGTTGCCTGAAGGTAGGCACCTGGTTTCATCTGAGATATGTAGGATATATGAAGCACACAGATATCTGAAGGATAAATGACACACAACCTATAGGTAACTCATTTCCTCAGCTGGGAATTGGAGACCAGTTGGGATGATACCCTAGAGCATCTCACATGTACTAGATGCCTTTGCTGAAGGAACTAATTTTGTTTCAGAACTCCATTGGTACAATAGGAACTAAGATGCCTTGGTCACATGCAGGTACCTAAATGTGTCACCTTTCTTAATCTTGAGCTCAATCCTGGTCGTGGTTTCTGGCATATGGAACCGTACTGCAATGAAGATTGCTTGTTTGTAGTCTAAATTCCCCGCTTTTAATTGCATGTAGTAATGTATTGGTTGAGTTGAAATAAAAATAGGTAAATCCTGGAGCGGAGATATTTTATTGGATATGACTTCTAAGTTACTTTTTGGGTACTGTTTGTAACCTGGGACTGCTAGATGAGTGGAGAGAGTGGTCATTTAGCGTGTAGAGCTTGTCAAGCTGTCATGGAGGTGTGAGGTTATAGTAGTCACTTGACTTTCATTCTTGGGCTGGAGGACACACCTGCTGCTCAGATGCAGGGAACAACAGCAAGACTTCATAGGGAAGAAAATATTTTGACTTCCAGGTTTATGGCTATTTATGCTGTAACAGTGGTTTCTGTAATGACTTTTCAGTGAGCTGTCAGTGATCTAATGAAAATATTTTCCAAGTGTTCAGGGCATAGATTTCAAAGCAAATTGGTTGTGAAATGTTAGTCTGTGGATCCAAAGAGGCTTGGCATACTTACAGACATGTTTCCTCTTCCAAGGACAGGGGCTAGAGGCTGTGAAGAGAACATGGTACTGCCTTGTCTTGTCATGGGAAGAAAATTTCCTATATGAGTGAAGTTCTGTATAGACATAAAAGTTGTCCCTATGCTTATGCTCCTAATTAATGACTTACAGCTCTCTGAAGTGTAAGATGTACGAAAATGTGTGTTCATGTTCATACCCCTTTATTCTGTAAAAGGAGAAACCGGCAGCGTTAAGTAACAATTGTTTATTAACACAGGACTAAAACTTCACAAATATTTAGTCATACCAATCAAGGTGCACTTTTCTGTTACAGTTTGGACTGAATATACACAATAAACAGTTTAGCGTAGTTGTCTTATTTCAGCTTTTAGAATGCATCATTTCACTGAACTCGTCACAAGAGGGGAAGGTAATGTGCACTTTTCCATATTTTAAAATGGAAAAGATCACATCCATAATAACAAATGGTATCACATCATAAATTCATAACCCAACGCACCTGTACACTGCTATATGAATGTTCATAGAATCATAGAATGGTTTGTATTGGAAGGGACCTTAAAGACCATCTAGTTCCAACCCCCCTGCCATGGGCAGGGACACCCTCCACTAGACCAGGTTGCCCAAAGCCCCATCCAGCCTGGCCTTGAACACTTCCACTATGTTATTGTAATGAAAAACAATGCAACATTAACATTACTTGGAACCACAGCTTCTAGTTGTTATTGAGGACCCACCACGATGCTGAAAGAGAGAAGAATTTATTTATTTGTTAAATAGTATTTCTTTTTCTATCTCTTGTAAAAATCCGAAATTCTTTAGCTGTGACGTTTATAAAGAAACATCAATTCGTATATGCAGCTAATACTACTTTATTTGAAAGCTGCATACTTTCAAAGACAAAACCTCTCCAGGCAGGGGAAGAATACCTAAAATACTAGGAGAGCTGAGTATAACTGGTGAGGGGTGGCTTTAGCACAAGAATGTGTATCTCTCTTTGATGACATCCAGAAGCGTTAACGTGTCATAGGTGCGGTTGAATAGAATTAAGCGCCCAGATCCCAGAGAGCAAATCACATAAATCCTCACTCCTGTTCTGCTGTGTGTGCCAGTATTTTAGCTGACCATTGTGTCTCCTGGGTGGTTGTACTGCCTTTAATGACTTTCTTTCCTGGTGACGTTATTCAAAGTGCTGTTCTTTTTTCACAACTCTAGGAATTAAGAGCGTTTTGCCCTAAAAGTAAGAGAATTGACGGACTTGTAAAATGTCATTCCTGTAAAAGAAGATCTGGAATCACCAGATTATAGACAGGGAGTGAGACACATCTGTACTTCTTCCCCACAGTCCCTAACCTTTGTCCTTTCAAACCTTATGCAGAGAGGAACCACAAGATTTATGGAGAGAGATGGAAGGAAGGAAGGAAAGGAATTGTGCCTGTATCTGAGATGCCAAGTCCCCTTAGCGGATGGGTGTTCTAGTCTCAGTAGGTTTTGCACTGCACAGTTTGGGGATTAAATTCATTAACACAACTTGTTTCTGTGAACGTGTCCATAAATCTTTCAATTTAAGGCATTTTTCTGAAAAAAATGTTATTCTTGAAGAAGAATGTTGAGAAGATACTTAAGAATCTTACCTGAATTTGGGCTATGAAAGCCTAGTAGTCTCTGACACATCAGGGGATTAATGAATTTTGGCCAGAAAAATGCCAATTTAACAGTTTATTTTGTCCCTTGTGGTGTCATAAGTGTTCAACTGTTTTCCCCTAGCTTTTGTTTTCTTCACCTAAAGGTTCTCCAGTGTCCTCGAGTCCAGATCTTATATCAAAATGAGGCGTTCACTGAAGGTGAACCAATTCATGCCACCCTGGTAGATTGGCCTGAAGCAACTCGGTCGGTTAACAGGTGTGCAAGAGACTGCAATTGGTTGTGGTTGTTATTAACTGATGGTAAATGAATTTGCTTTGGGATAATACTGGATCTAACAGTCCTGAAGTCCCGTATCTTCCTGAATCATTCTTAGCTGGCTAAGTGTATCCTTATTAATTTTAATTAATCAGCTGAGTGAAGACTCAGGTTGTAATCATAGAATCAGATTCAGATTACAATTTAGAATTGTTTTTCAGTTCTTATTTAACCAGATGTGTTAAAAAAAAAAAAAGTAGATGTGTCTGAGCTAGGGTAAATTTGTTTTTAAAATAGAGCCTATCTATGTGCTCATTGCAGACGGGTTTGTTTGGTTTTATCCTGATTTTAGAGCAGTATGACTTTACGTTGTCTAGAATTCTTTCATAAAGTATACTGATAGTGTTGCAGCCATCATTTTTAATTTCATGAACATTTTCTATCTTTCAAATATAAATATGATTTGTATAGATCAAATATGGGAAGTACTTTCCATGAAACAAAAGTTCAAATGTCTGCGCAGATTTCTAAATGATAGATAATCTATAAAATGGTAAAAATAATGGTGAATGCGTTACTTCCCATTGCCCCCCCAGCACAGAGTGCACAGTGAGAAATGCTGTTTCTATGGCAACCGTCTGCCAGGATGGAGTGCTGCAGACTGAAATCCTTCTTAGCAGGCAGAGCTGATGGTTTAACGAGCATTTTGAATCTGATTTCAGACACTTCTGTTTAGGCATTTATAAATGACGTTTACATTTTATTTTATGTTAATTGTACTTTAGCTGTGAGTAAACCACCTCAGAACACTCCTGGGACATACCCAGTCTAGCTCTTGGACATGAAGAAGTTTGGGAGAAGGCCGCATTGTTTCCCACAGCTAAGTTTGTCTTAAACCCAGCAATTTCCCCAGTAAGATAATAGATTTGAAGGGATTCTTGGTTCATTAAGTGCAATCTCCTGATACTGCAGGAATCCCTGGCATATAATTGTGTGTTCAGGCTCATGAGGTCTGAAAATACCTTGGCTGGTTTCTTTTAAGGAGAAAACTCAGCTATAGGACTATCTATTTTTTTTTTTTCTTCTCCTAGGTCTGTACTCAGACATAGGGGAAATTAGAGTTTCACTGTAATAGATTTGTGTTGCCCAAGATAAAAATTTTGCTGTCCTCCCTCTGTAAATGTGGGACCGATGCTTGCTTTGCTTCATCCCACACTGTCTCTTTTAACTATCATTTCTCTGAGAAAAATGATGTTGCATCTTTATTGGTTTATATTAGAAACAGTAATTTGGAATCATCAACACCTTGCTTTTTCAAAGTAGTTTGTTTTAACATAGCAGGAAGCATGTACAATAAATTGGTTAGTAAATGTAAATTATTAGTAATGAAGACTTGTGTCAATAATGTAGATATGATTAAGTCGAAGTCTTCATCAGCAAGCAATTTTTTGCCTGCAAATCTTAAAAAGGGTCTATTTTACTAATCACAAATAGTATTGTTTATTCTAGATATTTTCCTAAAAAGTATATGCTAGCCTAACTTTGTACTATGTAAAAGAAAGCATTGTGGGTCTTATGCTCCTGATGCATTTTACATTTCTGTGCTTCAAATAAAAACATTTAGAGTCTCTTTCTCCTTCATACTTATCTTACTGAGGGTAATATTATGCAGTTGTCCTGCATATGGAACAGACTAATACAGTAGAACTCTTCACATGGAACAAACAAAATACTGTGAAAAATTGATATTTACCAGGGACTAGCATTGTTGTGATGAGCTCAGGAGTTTCCAAGAAGTCCACATTACTTCTTTGGAATGTCTTGCTGTAATTCATTTGAAGGTGGCTAAATAATTGTAAAAAAATAAGAATATTAGAAAGTTTTTAAAGGGGCTAAATATAATGCTATAAGCCAGATTTTGTGCTTCAAAACTTAGACGATGATAGTGGGAGAGGAGACCAGATAAGCCGTGAAGTGTTTGCATGTAACATCAAACACACTTTTTCCTTCTGTATGGTTGGTTGCCTGTTACTCTGATGCTTTTCACTTGGTTGTAACACAGTATAGCAGTTCTTGTTCCAAATGGGTTGATGTGTGTTACCAGTAAAAAGTAAACGTACCTACTTTGGACTGGGGCTTTGTTCAAAAGGAAAGATAGTAAGCTTCAAGAGACTTCTCCATCTTCCTTCAGAACAATTTCTGTATACAGGTTTAGGATTTGAGGATTTGTTTGAGTTTTTTTAAATAGGAAAAGTAGTTAAGGAAAATATTTTTGTCTCAATTTTTTAGCCATCTGCCTGCTGTAGGTTAGAACTCAACTGGTCGGACTTCTAGTCACTACGACTTCTATTTTGGACCCAAAAGAGACATTCTGGAAGTCTGTCAGATGGGGTTTTGTGGTGTGGATTTGGGAAGCTTTGTGAGAGTTCCCCATGACTGCTTGCATGCTTAAGTGTGTTGCTGGATGGCACAGCTCCTGCCTCACTCATTGGCTCCATTTCTTTCTTTCTTTGTCATTAACCTGTGCAAATATTGCTGTTTCCCTATTCTTTTATCCCTGATCAACTAACATCCATCTGATGTCATTCCTTTCTCTGTTCACTTTCAGACTTTGTATGTTCTATTTGAATTAGCTGTGTCTGACATTTTTATTTACATTTCAGTATATTTTAGTCTTTAGCAACTGAAGTAGTGTTCTGAAGTATTAATTGTGATATATTTAGCAAGAGATTGATTAGCAGTATTTCATTTGTATTCAGTCCTTCTACACAATTGCTTTCTAACTTTCAAAACTTTCTATAGTACAAAAAAATATCAACCTGACCTCCCAAAACTTACCTATTCCAGGCATTGGAGTTCTCCCAGAACTCATAGACTATGAAGCGGGAATCACTTGGAAGCTTCTGTATTGAAACACTAAGAATTGTCGGATAGAACTAATTTAATCAAACATGACAAAATTATCAGACGTACACATCTTTTACTCCAAATTGCTAATGAGTAGGAACCAAATGCAGTGATTTTTGGGGGAGAAAAAAACCCCCCAAAACCCAACCAAATAATAAATGTAACAAATGAGTGATTTTTGGGAAACATGCTGCAAATTATTGGAGCTTTTTTCCTAAACTCTTGGAGTATTTTCATGGCTTTTTATTTACTGATATTTTATATTACTACACTTACGGACTCTTATTTATGAAACCAGTTTTTCATATTGCTCCAGTAGTCTTTTATCTAAAGAAATACTAATCAGTAATATGGAAAATTAATCAAACAAACAACTGTGGTTCAGGGAAAATCAGCTAATACAGCATATTGCACAAAGATCAGCTCAAATATGTTTATAGAGTAACTTGCGCTGTTTCAATGAAGAATTGTACTGTGAGAAGTCATCCTTTTGCATGAGAGATACATCAAAGTGGCACAGAGTTTAGGTGCTTGAAAGCAAATATAAAGACACATAGACTGACATCTGCTGCAGATACACTTTTAAAATAATACTTTGGGTACTATTTACTTATTCTTACGCTATTCAGCTAACAATTTATCATGGGTGAAAAATGACCTACAGAATATCTGCTGATCCTCTACAGGGAATCATCCCACTTATTATCCTGAGCATAAAAGCTTTATAACACATAGGGTACTTATGCATTTGGGTACTCGAGTTGGTGTTGAGATGTATAGGACAAAAAGTATATATACGTATTTCTCTGCCCAAGTGTGAGATTGCTGATCTTACTCCTCATGTGCTTGTATACTGTTCTCAGATTATAATTCATACTGTAATAAGCAATAAGTCCTGTGATTTATTGGTTTTCTCCTGCTGTATGTGAAAGTACATTGTAAAATAGCAAAAAATATCAAGAACTGTTGGAAAAAAACAAGTCAATGTCATAAACGACTACAGTAAAAACCAACCGGTAGGTGGCATTACAGACTTACCAAATGCCTGTAAGCTTGGGAAAGAAAGTAACTTTTTGCATCATTTGTTAAGTTGCATTCTGAAGCCCTGTAAGCTCTCTCCCCTGACAAGGCTGCAGTCACTGCAGCGTTCTGCTGGATGCTCGTTTTTGGAAGGGGATTGGAGGACTTCTCTGTGTTTTTTCCAGGTCTTGGCCCACAGGAGAATTTTATTGTCCTCATCAGTCTGCCCTTATAAGTGAACCACTGCAAAAAGGTCACTGTTTTCTTTATCTGGCTTAACTTACTTTTTCTGGCCTGTGTGAACACTACTGATACGATCACAAGTGTGACAGTCTCTTAACAACAAGGTTCATAAATCAGTTGCTAAAATTTATTCTTACCCTGGTTCTAATGTTTTATTTAATTCTCAAAGGAGCAAATCAGAAGTACACTATTTCATTGAAAACTTTGCTATTTAATTTTTCCAATTCTTTATTATGAACAAAAATTTTGAAATTACAGCCTAAAGGGAAGATTTTGAAAGCTTCCAAACAGAGAACTAGCAAACAAGTTGGTAAGTTGCTCACTTGCCAGGTGAGCACAAATGAAGGATAGCAAATGAGTTTTCCAATAGAGAGTGTCAGCCTAGGAGCTTGCAGAAGCTGTGGATTGATGACCTACAGAGCTCAAAAACCTTAAAAGATTGTTGAGCATCTTTGGGACAGCTTCTGTTGTCATTTTGTGATACTACTAAAAGTCTGCACATATACTTTGACATCTCTTTCTGGTTTTCATTGTCTTTGAAAAGCTGTCTTACACACCTGCATAACCAACCAGGAAAGAAGATGATAAAGGTTCTGTTTTCATAAATAACCCAGCTCTACTTAGAGGTTATTCCACAAATCAGACTACATTCCTTCCTGCTGCCCAGGGACAATAACATTGTACTTACTGCAAGCAGCCACCCTGAGTAGAAGCAGATTCCACGTACTGCTTCAGAGCAAGCCGGAACTCCACGATTTCTTCTTCTATCACAGACATTTGACGTTGGACAATCATTATGTGCTGATACAAAAACATTACAATATTACTGCCATATCGTCCTCTAAATTCCTTGTTCTTTAAACTCTGAAAAGTCTATCACAAACCAATAAAAAACACAATCATAAAAAAAACCCACAAAAGTTCCTTCAAAGTCCCTGTTTTAGTGCTCTGGAATGGGGAAGTAGAAATGCTTGAGTGCGGCTCTTATGTCTAGGCAGGCTGAGGCACAGTATGGAAACACCCCAAATTTGTGTCCACCTTAGAGAAACTGAGAGTTGTCCGAAGCCTGGATGAGACAGTCTTTTCAGAATAGTGCAAAGTAAATGCTCATCTGTGGAATATTCAACAGTAAAGTCAGCACATTTCCTTGGATTAATCTGTATGCAAGCAGGTGTGAGGTTTGAGGTAAGAGCATGTTGCCACAACCTGCATTGGATGCAGTGTTACTTCTGTGGAGGTGCTCTCGTAGTCTTTTACCTTTCAGAGCTCTGACTCGCACCTGAATGAGGTGCCTAAGGTAACGTGTTAAATAATGAATAGAGAAGGATTTTATTTCCTTCAACCTTTCTGCAAAAAATTAACAATCTTTATAAACAGGACTATGGAAACACTTGGCAGTATGGAAGACCTATTTATCCTGAATTACTATGATTACCATTTAGCTAATGTAAGTAATTTACATATCGATTCATCCATTGAAGATTGTCAACCTTACTAATGAAATATTTGAAGAAACACCATGTGCTTCTTAATTAATACAACTTCATCTCTTTTACGGGTTTTTGACTTGTTTCTGCCTTGATTATTGATACTGTTATCTCCTGGATTATCCCTTCTTCATAAGCAGCCTGTCTAGCAATATTGTATAATCTCATTTAAAAAAAGAGAAAAATATAATACAATTCCTGTGATGAAATAAGGAATTTGATGGATCATCTATTTTGGTTATTTTTTCATGTGTATTTGCTTTGCATTTTGTTAGGTTCAAAGCCCTGAACTTAGGAATGCTAGTGTATTTGAAAAATTCATCTTGATCTTGGGACATGAACTTAATTAAAAGCAAGTTTATTTCTGGTTATGATTCTGGTTTTGTAAGTTGTAATGTTGATTACTGCTTAACATTAGATGCTCTCCCATCTTTCCTGACAAGGCTTCCTATAGCAGTTTGGGAGGGAGGGAAGGAGGCTGGCTGTACAACCGTGATTTAAAGCATGCATGCAGCATTCGGTGATTGGGAGCTGAGAAGCTATCACCCCGTAAACATAGCTGCCAAATTCAGTAAATCTTATTAATGACACCTTTACCTCTTTATGTAAGTTGAGGTTTTGGCTCACTGTATCCCTTGAAAACAATGCAAAAATTAATATGAAAGTTTTGACCATATATTCTAAGTTTTGTTATGTTGTGTCTTGCACAGTGTATTCTGCTGATTAAAATGGATGCTTGCCACTGGGAAAAGTGAGGAAGGTGACATTTTTATTTATTATTTTTTTAACATATCAATGGTGAGGTGGTTGTCTTACTACCTGGCTATGAAAATCAAATGTCAAAAGTCATTGTCTTGAGATAACACTTACAGATTTTGCATTTTCTTCCAAAACTTCCTCTTCAAATGGCTCGAGCTTTAGGTCCTTTCAAGCAGTTGAAAAGAAAATAGAAATATAAGAGGTAATACTACAGCTGTATTCTGGTCTTACCTTTTTAACAAGCTATTCCAATAGCTAGACTCTGTTTTAGCTCCAGAAGTTATAATTAAATCCATTCTTTATTAGCTGTAAATCAAACACAAGCATTGTTTGCAGAATCTCACATGTTTCAGTGGTTAAATCCAACCCACGCTGTTCTGTAGTTTTATTTATAATGCTGAGCAGGTAATTTTTCATTTGTAAAACAAATCCACTTGCTCACAAATGTATGTTGGACTTTTAATTCAGAAAAGACAGATACCTTCTCAAATTGTCACGTGGACTATGGAGATGAGCAATTCTGGTAATTTGAAATGAACTATTGGCTACCATTACGCCATCATAAAACTTTATACAGAAGAAACTTCTTCAGGGGGAGTATAGTTGCAAGGGACAGTTTTGTAGCATTGAAAAAGATGCGCACGGTGCTCCAAGTCAGGTTTCTGAACTGCTGTGCTTGCTTCTGAGGACAGGCTGGGCACCAGCAACAGATGCATCCGTGAGGCAGCAGTATGCTTGCTTAACACACAAACTGGATGTGCACTTCATGAATCCGTGATTCATGCAAACGCCATTTAGTAATGCACACAAAAATATCACTTACATGCTAGGCACATGTGGTACCCTCTAACCCAGTGCCATATGGATATTCTGAAAAATGGGTATTCTGAAAAATATCCATATGCCTGAAAAAAAGCAGATCAATTTGCAATAAGCAGCTGGAGCAAAAGGCACTCTTTGTTAGCGGTGCTTCGCTTCTCATTGCAAACAATTCTTGTGTTACAAAGATTTAAAAAAAACAAAACAAACCAACCCTCTTCTACTTGCAGCTGGGTGAGCATTGATTAACCGCAAGTAGCAGGCGTTTTGCCAGCACAAATCCTGTTCTCGCTGAAAAGCTAACAAGAGGTGTGCAGGCAGAATTCAAACAAACAGGACCTCCACCAGCAGCAGGTAGCAGGGCAAGGCAGGAGTGAAGTAGCAGTCACAGAGTAACGGCTGTGTAGCTGTACCTCTCCTGCAGAACGTGCACAGAAAGACATGAAATGGAGAAGGGGGAAACACCCAACTTTAGTAGCTCATTTGTCAGTGCAGGCACTTCAGATAAAAACCTTGAGAGAAAATGCATATTCCTGTGGTTTTTCTGTACTTTCACTGCATTTTTTTTTCCTAGGGAAATGTATGGAAAAACAGAGGAATGACTCAAGTTGTACTGCAAACTGTCTTTTAAGGTAGCAAGAAAATAATTCTATGTTTTCCAGTATATAACTTGAGAAATTGAGAAAAAAAGACAACCTACAAGATTGATTCATGGTTAAATTCACCTTTGACAGAACAAGAAGAGTTAGACAACGCTAAATCAACCATTCACCAGGTAGTTTTCCAGTAGGAAACACTGGTGGATAACTTGCTGGCCTCTTCAAGAATTTGAAAATAATCTGGACAGGTTCTTCAGTAACATTATGTCATTAGACAGGGCATGATTACACAGATGAGGTAAGTCTACACAGACAGCTTGCTGTGACCTTTTAGTATGCGAGCACTGGCACATAGTCCTCATCTGTGCAGAAAGGGCACTCAGGCATCGGCTGACTTGATGTTGAGCATGAGTGAAGTAGCCCAATGTGGAGGTGAGAGCTGCTGCCATACAGTTCTCCTGCAGCCTGGAAATGAAACCAGCTCAGAGCTGAGGCTTTACCATGCCTCCTCAGTCCTCCCTCACCTCAGCTGAGAAGCAGTAGCTTCTGAAATTGCCTCGTAGTGTGATTGTGTGATCCTTCTAATCTGCCTCAGGGCAAAGTCAAAAGGAAGAGCTTTAGCAGCTGCTGAAAGACAGCTGAAATGTCACACTTGGTGGGATGTGGTGGGTTAACCTGGAACATCATCTGGGCTAAAAGTGATTAAGTTACTGCTGAGAGATGGCATACGTAATGGCCTCATCCCCGGTGGGAAGTGGTGACCAACCACTTGGTCACCACTTGATGTTTCTAATTTGTTTCAGTCTGAAGTTGGTGGCCATTCAAGCAATCAGCTTTGCCTTTTCTTGACTTTGTTTTGGAACAGAGTAGATGCGCTCACAGTCTCCTACTGCTAAGAGGCACCAGAGTCCTTTCTGCAATATGTGCCTGTCCCAGTCATGACCCAGACACTTTTGCTAGATGCTGTTTAAACATGGATCGCAGGGAGCTCCTCCTACTGTAATGAAGTGTAAGATCTAATAAAATGAGGACCAGAGGGAATGTCATTAATGCAAAAAAATTCTCATAATCTTTTTAATATGCCTTAGGATACTTTATGGGACCAGGAGTTTTATGACTTCTAGGTTGCATGCCTAGTAAATCTGGGGGTTTTAGTTCACAGGGGCCAGAAAGAACTGCCAAGAGAAGAACAATCAAAGTAGGTGGTTCTGGAGAAGCTGCAGAAGTGGTGAACTTCTCACCTCTCACAGTTAGACCTGGTCGTGAGATACAAAGTCAAGCAGATGCAAAGTTAGGCAGAAGTGGATATAGGCTGTCTGTTGGCAAAATTAGATTTATCTAATTGCTATGTTTTATTAATCAAGTTTTATCTTGATAAGGAGATGTTTATGGAAGGTCTATGCCCTGCCACTTTGGCATTCAGTTCCTTTTCAAACTGAGGTTGTAATTTATTTGCAGCAGATTTGATCATCTTGTAACATCCTTGTTCTAAGTTTATTCATTACAAAATGGTTGGCTGTTTTCTGTAATGTTTGCATTGCATTATTGCTGTATGCCAGATTTCTTTTTTCAGTAACATTCTTTTAAATTTTAAGTTTCCTTAAACTGTTTTTGGCACCAGTCCATGTTGGGAGGTCACTGTGGCAGGGCTCTGCTACTCAAAGCAGAGCTAGGAGTAAAGCTGGACCAAAACCAAGAGTTACATTTCATGATGGACTTTGACATTTCAAAATCCAACTTATATCTATTCAGGAAAAAATCAAGTTGCTACTAAAATGTCATTAATGTGGAAACTGCTGTGTAATTGCTTTTCTGAGGCAGAAATGACCTCTGGGAGGAAGCAGGTGGATGGGTATGCCCTGGCCAGAGGCTTAATGGACTGAGCAGACCATGAGGAGCTGCCGAGCATAGCAAGGAGCAGAGTGAGGAGCTGACAGAAGTTACAGTGCCAAGAGGAATGGCCGCATTTCACAGCTGGTTAAGGAGAAGTGATGCAAGAGACTGTCAGACCTGAGGGATAGCCCAAGGGAGTACTGGGCTCCTTTTGGGGAGCAGAGTCTTGCAAGGCCAGCAGTGCCAGGGTGACTGTATTGGTAACGCAGCTTCTCAGCAATAAGCCTGAGATAACAGAAATACCCAGTTTTGATCCAAAGTGGGACCAAAGGGGAAAAGTACTGAGGGCAGTTTGTTCATCTGGGAGGGCGCAATGGCAGGGAAAGGTCACTATCCTTGTCTTGCTGAGCCCTGTGGCAGGTCATCACCGTTTATTCTGTCTTCTTGTTAAATCCCACACTTAACTATTTTCTGTGTGTTTAATTTGCTACTGAACTCAAGTTGGACTACCAGGCGAGTAGGAGGAGACACTTGTCTGCCAGGACCCAAGGTCTGAGCCAGTGCCTGGGGAAGGGTCATGGGTCCAACCACAAATACTAGGTGGACTTAAGGCCCATGATAATGTTCACTGGGGAATGTCCATCCTGATCAGCTGGAAAGAAGGAACAGGGTCAGGCTGTCTCGTGTTCATGTTTCTGAGAGAGCTGCTGGTCTGTGGGTGCTGGTAAAGGCACCCGTGCCCGTGCGTGTGGACCCATATCTTTGGAGTACGTGCACAGCCTTGCTGCTGGTGAGCACTGATCTGCAGGGAGGAGCAGCATCAGCTGCACTGGGACTGGAGCAACTGCTGGATCTGCGAGCACTTCAGCCTAAAACCTTGCTTCTAGTAGACCATGAGGAAGAAGTCCCCTGGGTCCCAAAATCCACTGAATTTAGCCACACCCTTAGCACCTATCTGAAATTGTCTATCTGCCCTTCAGTAGGGACACTTTATGTAAAGAACAACACAGGCATTTATACCTTACTTTTTCCTCTGCTCTTTTAAAAAAAAAAAAAAAAAAAAAAATCATCATACATAGACATAAATCAGCTTTTAAAACCAAGGGTAGCAATCAATCTGATTGATTGAAAACAAAAGCAATAGATATTTTCTGTACAGACAGATGTTAGTCAGGTTTTTACAAACCCTGGGAAGCCTTGGTATCGTTGGATCATTTGTCAGACTCCTGGAGGGCTCTGCTTCGTCATGGGAACCACAGGCGGTCTCAGGGCTCTGGGGGGCTGGTGCACCCCGGAGCTGGGGCAGCTCCCAGGCGGGATGGTGGGATTTGCATCAGCTTTTGGTTCAACCATACTTACTAGGAAAGTGTTTTAATCTTTATAAATTAGTATTCTCTGACAGGGAAGGAAGAAACCAAACTTTCTGTTAGGCTTTAGTGTGAAAATTTGGTGAGGAAGAGAAAAAAATCTGATTCTAAAAAGAGAGGCTTGTCCCATGTTCCCCAAAACAAGCAGAACTAAATACAGTGACATGTTCCAGTCATGGAGTAGAGTGACTTTACAGATCTTTATGAAAAGTTGGATCTGTGGTGATGGGAAGGGGAAGGGGGAGCGTGGGAAAACCATGTCATGTTCTCATGCAATAGGAAAGAAGGTGGAAGGAAAATGTAGGCATTTAATGAGTGTTAGCTCACTTAGGTGATGTTGAAGCTCCAGCCATTATTGATTGGAAAGGCTGTGACCGGGACATTGGAAACATTGGTGGTTTAAAGATTGCTTTACTGAAAATAAGAGAACAAACAGGTGAAAAGAAACACACACCTTCTTTTCCAGCCTGTCAATCAGCTTTTGGAGTCTGTTTATCTGGGTCATCCACTGGCTGTCTTCCTCGATCCAACCTTTGGAAAATATAAATAATGAACATTCTATGAATGTTAGTAATTTTATGAACATCAGCAACTCACAGCAAGGGATCAAACATCATTCTGCATCATTGTGCTGAATGAACAGCATCGTTTGGTGAGTGGCAGAAAGAGATTCATGAATGTGAGTGACAGAAGGGTCTTCAAAAGAGGGTTAAAAAGGAAGAGGTAAGCACGTGGCTGCAAGCAGTGAGATCTGCATGACTGGTCGAGAAGTGGGCTTGACCCATCGTGTCCTTTGGTGTTTCAGTCATCTGAATGCCTTGATTCTGAGAGACATCACTAAGCCTGGAGATGCCTTCACTGCAGCCTCATGCTTAATGTCACTGCTTCTAAAGAATCCCGTTTACCAAAATACCCTCTCACGTTTTCCATAGCAGAAATGCTGTTTCAGGTTTTTATGTATCATCTTAAATGAATTTTTTCCCCCCTTCAGGTTTTGTATCTTCCCTTTCTCTTTCTTATTTATTCCCCTCAGCTGGCATGTAAGTCATCCAAGTATAAGTATGAGTTCTGTATAAGTTATAGCATTCACCTTTTCATTCTTATCTGCAGGCTACAAATGTTACCTAAGAAATGCTGAATCAACCCACAGCCTCAAAATGATAACTCAGTTTGCCCCATAATTATGTATTTATTTTTTATCAGTTCAGATCTATGGGTACATATTTATTTTCCTTACAGTAGGAGGTAATACCTTCTATATTCAATTGAAGATTGATTTCTGTCAGTAAACTGAGTTAGTTACCATGTTTAAATCAAATTTTTGGGAAGAAGATGCATGTGTATTTTTCTGTATGGTGTGTATGCATGTGTTTTAAATATCTTTAAAATGTGAAACACCATACCTGTGCTAAAATGAGGGCTATTTGGCAACAGGCTGTTGTTCCTCTGAAGCCTTCGAGCTGAGCGTTTTCCTGGCCATTGAATTGAGAGCACTTCTGGTTTTGTTGGGCCTTGTCTGCACAGCAACACAGGAGACTTCATCAGGTAAAACATGTGGGAGAGCTCTCCTCTCTCTGTTCTCACAACACGTGCTTGCATATTCCCATTTTGAATTAAAAAAGGAGAAGTACCTATTCAGACCACTGGATTATTTTCCAGATTTTCAGTATTACTTATTAGTTGTGTTTAGCTTGCTAGTCATTAGAGAAGTAAAAAAAAAAAAGGAGGTTAAGCTGGTGTAAACCTTTCTTTTAGGGAGAGAAAGCTCAAGTTCAGTGTCTGTCCATGATGTGGTTCTGACCTGGCCTGAGGAACAATTCACACCATTTCTTTATTCACAGAATTTTCATAGCACCTCTGCGGAGGAACTGGGGTCACAAGAACAGCTAAAAGTGAAATATGAACTTTAAACATTGACTCCTTCAGCTTAAAGATTGAAAAAATAAACAGCAACATGTATCTGTTAATAAGGAAGGAAAACCGATGAGAATTAGCTAATATTGGATGGAGGACAGATAGATTTCTGGGACCAGTATTGAAATATAGCAGATACAGAAATTACTTATGTTTGTACTGCGATGACAGAGTTATTGAAGCTTGAAAGTTTGTGTGGGGACTGAAGGCTATCTCTATGTGGTTCATCTTCATCACCCAGCTGGAGAACAATGAAGGACCAGGACTATGATTAGTTTTGAACAGTTAGTTGGATGAGTGGTTGCAAAGACTATTAGACAGTAGTCTAAACAGTTCAGTAAATAATTCCCAGGTCACTGCTTTGGAAAGCTCTCTGGTATCCTGAAGCACAGAATGAAGGCTCACCAAAAGCTCACACACTATGTTAAGAAGATGTTTTTTCTGCAACATAAAATCCCTTCACAGTAAGGCAAATTATGGCAGCTCCCCACTGTGAACACTCTTAAATTAGTTTAGGAGTGTCTTAATGGGATTTTGATTCAGACAGTTTGCCCCTGAGTTAAGTTAAACATAATTGAAGACAATTTTACATAGGGACTGGGGCATCTGCACTAGGAACTAACTCATTTTCTCCGAAACAGCTGTAGTTGTAGTGCTGAGTTTGCCTGGCTTTTCCATTGCTACCTCAGAAAATGGGGAAGATCATAGAATCATAGAATGGTTTGGGTTGGAAGGGACCTCAAAGATCGTCTAGTTCCACCCCCCCTGCCATGGGCAGGGACACCCTCCACTAGACCAGGTTGCCCAAAGCCCCATCCAACCTGGCCTTGAACACTTCCAGGGAGGGGGCCTCCACAACCTCTCTGGGCAACCTGTGCCAGTGCCTCACCACCCTCACAGGAAAGAATTTCTTTCTAATATCTAATCTAAATCGACCCTCCTTCAGCTTAAACCCATTACCCCTTGTCCTGTCACTACACACCCTGATAAAGATGGTATTTGGCTTAACAGTGTCACACTTTCTTTACCATAAACTAAATTCACCATTCAAGAGGATATTTCTGAACAACTGTACTGATAAGGCTGGAGAAAGAAGTCTCCACAATGCCCTACCAGACAGTCAATGCAGATGAGAAAGCTGGCAGCAGAAGGGATGTTCATATCACCCAGTTCTACACACCCAGGTGAGTAGTTTGAGTTACTCACATGGTCTTTCTAGACTGTATTTCTAGAGAGGCTGTCCTAAAAGGCAAGTCAGAGAAGAAGTCAATGATTACTCCAGAGGATGTAAAAGTGCCTAAGTGAGGCTCCAGCTCTGAACTGGCCTTTCAAGACTACTTTCTCTCCCATCATTTGTGTGGGGAACCTGAAGGATGTATGCATGAATGGAGGGGTATATATACCATGCATACTTGGCGCACCTTCAGCCTTTCAAAACCTGCTTGATTCCTGCAGTCAAGCTGCTGGCACAAAACCCCAGTGTATTATTCATGTACTTCAGAAATCTCAAACCCAACAGCAAAGCAATCAAGAAAATGACATTACCAAAAGAAAGAATGAAAAAGCAATGCATTTTAAAACATATGATGTGTTGAGATCTTCTTTGTCCATGAAACGCAACAGCTTGTATTTTGCTTTCCCTATCATCTTTAACAATAGCATACTGAGGAAAATAAATCCATAAAGTCAAGTACCTTTTCAAAAATGTTTTGATCTTTGATCCTACAAACCTTCATCTATGAGTTCATGGTATTAAATTCAGCTAAACCCCTTGGATGGATATAGGTTACCGAGGTGTCTGAGAGTCTATAGAGTTGGATGTTAAACAATACTATGGCCCTGTGTTCTAGGAAGAAGCTGTAACAAGCAAGACCCTGGATATTTCTCCTCTTAACATTGGGATTGTTGTGCAACCAGGAATGAAAAAAAATCATAAAGCCAGGAGAAAGAAATGAGACAGTCAATGGTCTTAGTAATTTCAGAGCTCTTTATATTGCTGTGGTCTGGTTTCTGCATTTGATATTCAGTAGTGAATGGATCTAAAAAGAAGTCAAAGGAGCAGAGCCTAGGATGTAATAAAATGGTCCTCCTACATGCAACCCGCCACAGGATCAGATTGGAACCTGCTTGCATTCAATTTCAGGAAAACTCCTATTAGTGAGTTCCTATATGGAATAAAAACCGTATCCTTATTTCTCCTGTTATTCCCTACATCAAGCTGCTGGGTGAAATGTTAGATGGTCTTGCATGTTCACGGTGACCTCACTCCTCATCCCCTTCACTGCAGCTGGGCAGGATGTTTGCTCACCTCTCCTGCCGAGTCTGCTCCTCCGTGGTTTCCATGGCACACTCCAGGCTGCTCTGGAGGGACTGAAGCTGGTTCAGTGTCTCCTTCAAAAGAAAGCGAGTCACAAACTGCTCCAAATTGGAAGCTTCCTGATAGTCCTAAAAATTACATGGGGAAAAAAAAAAGTTAAGGATTTGCTTGCTTGGTTAGAAATATGTAAAGGAAGATTCAGTCTTAATTCAGAAAGAAGCAGCTTGGATGTTTTCATGCTTATACATGCAAACCACATAAGCAACCTTTATGTTTCTGGACAAAAAGACCTCTGAATTTCCAGGTATAGGCCCTGATCCTACCGAAGCTGAGAGAGGCCCAGTTACACAGTGGCACAACATAGTTTCTACTCAAACACCCAAGCTGAGAGAGGCCCAGATACACAGTGGCACAACATAGTTTCTACTCAAAAAACCTTTTTTCCTTTCCAGTTGATGGCAGTACCACATTACTTCTTAAGTATGGAAAAGCCAAGATATGACTGACAACTGTAGAAGTGAATTTAAAGTTTTTATTCAGATCTACTCTTGTGAAAAGATGTTTTCTAGCCCACTGGGCTGTTTCTGGCAGTGACTATGGGAATAGTCTTTGAGCAGGGCATGTCATGTACTTAGTGATACTGCCCTGGAAAACTCCACCAGCAGTCTGGCTGAAGGACTGCCCGTGATAGAGAGATTGCCTTCTGAATTTAACAGTCTTTGACTGTTTTTTGTTCTTTGAATTTGTTTCATTATTTTTGAAACCATATATCTATATATTTCACAATTACATGGAATGCATCTAAATTATCTTTGAGCTGGAGCTTGGTTATTATAAAAGTTTGCACCTATATTTAGCAGTCTGTAATGGTTCTTTGTATAACAACATTTTCAATATATTTTATGTGTTTAAAAATATTTATGCATATTTTGTGTAGATAATTGCAGAAATAAGTTCTTACACCTGCTCTCCCTGGCCCAATGAATCATATTTCCATGGGTGATGTCGACTTTAACATTTCTGGCAAACCCAGATCTGCAAACCCCAGTTCTGCAGTGACCTGCAGGTACTGCTGTGTGAGGGGGGGGAACCCATATGATAATATAAACACCTTTTTTGTTGTTTTCTCATTAATGAATGTAATAGAAAGGACAGAGGGGACACAGAGAGCCTCTGCTTAGTGTATAGAGTTCCCATCAGGAACAGAGAAGGAAAATGAACTTTAATACCTTAAACTCCGAATGAATTTGTTGGCTCCCACGCTGATGAAAGTAGGCTGGTATCCATTTTTCATATGCCCTAGGTCTAATTATGTTTGCAGAAAATACACTCAGCTGATCTTGAAAGCCTGACCATCTAAAATCGTTTCATTAAATATGAGGTGCATTGAATGAAAGATTTCTCTAGTTATCACAACTGAGGATAGATGATGGTCTGTTATCTCCAAGCTTTAAAGAAAACTTGTCAGTTGAATGGTGTTGCCTCCCACTCTAGCTGAAAACCCATTTGAGTATTTTTGGCCATGCATATGGGTATTTTTAAGCTCTTCTCTGTTCTTCCCAATGTGAATTACAGCTAAAATGCCTATTTGGCTTTTAGATTTCTCTTAGAATTTTTGCATGCGTGTGTTTGCAAATGGGATGTTTTGAAATTTAAATGTAAAATAAAAGATTGTAAGATAATAGCTTTAAAAGCACTTTGCTCTCAAATGAGAGCAATCTATTCACAATGTATGTTATTAACTTTGTTCTTATTAGAAGACTTCTGCTACAGCAATCTCAGGATGTTAAACCACCTGTGAATCATCAGAAGTTACTTATGTAGCTAGGAGTTTCATGGTCTTCTATATTTACTTCTTCTGTCTTCAGATTAATCAGGTGTGAGCCACTCTCCAACAAATAATTTCTTATTTATACATTTTCAAAATAGATACTCATGGGAGATTGTCTGTCTACCTTTTGAGTGAATACCTGAGACTCACACCAGTTCTGTAAATAACATTTATGGCAACCTTTATGATTACTAAATCTTATTATGCAATAGAAAAGCTGGTTTTTTCCTCTTCTTCTTCTAAATTGCCTCCATTGTAACCGATCTAAAACTTCGGTGCACCTGACAGAGATAATTTAATTTCAAAAAATTTTGATTCTTTGTGGCATATTAGAACAACATGTGCGAATCTGTGTAGCATGGGCAGCTAAATAAAACCCTGCAGTTGAAATCCAGAGTATGTTTTAATTTTTCATTTTTTGACAATGGTCTTGGTGAAACATGTCAGAACTGACCATTTCTTGTAAGTTTTTGAATACCAAAGCAATCTCACAAGAGGAGGATAACCAAAGAAGTGGTTTAAAATTCTGGGCATCCAAAAAAGTAAATGCTACAGATATGTCCTTCTAGCTTCCTTCTCATAGTCATGGTAAACCTGATACTGGCACACTGATTTACAGCTTAAAATGTACATCAGTACTATTTCATTTTGTGAACTGTTCAGGCGGGCCCTCGCTGACGGGGGGATCATACAAACGTTAGCTCTGTAATACTTGCTATTGTGTGAGGCTGCTTTCTGACTCCTTCAGAAATGCCTTCTGCCTCTGAAAGTTAATAAGTAATAATGGGACCCACTGATGGCATGTGTACGTAAACTAGAAAAATGGCCTGTTTGTTGATTTTCATTAGCTGTAAATTACCATTCATTAGCATATACATTATACTGCACAGCAGCCTGGGCAGTCCAGATGAAATAAGTCTGTTAACATATCATTCGGCTTGCTAGTTTTACTGATTGTGAGTGAATGAAAGTCATTTTCCACATCTGCCTCATCAAGATACAACCGTGACCTTTGTGAGCAGCTAAGATTTGAGTTTCCATTAATGCAACTGAAAATATATATAATTAGTCATTTCCCTGTGGAAAAAGGTCACTGTGGTCTTTAAAACTGGCTTATGGCTATCTTAAAAGGTACAGAAGAGGTTGTCCTTTTATAAAGGCAGAGGAGGCAAGGCTTAGGTATCTCCTAAGGGAGTCCACATCTCAGGGCTACCACAGGTTCAGCGACTCTCTTGGTCCTCTTGAGCCCTGGTGCCATCCCCAATCCTCTCCCCTTGGGTGACCTGAGACCACACTGACTGGCTTAGCAGAAGAGCAGCTCCTCGAGAGTGGGAAGGAGGGAGAAACCTGTGTTCACTTACTTGGAGCAAACAAACTAACTTGGCTGGGACAAAAAATAACTGAAATCTCACAGAAGAGGTGGGAGCTTAGGCAAGAGCTCCACAAACTTAGTGGGAAAGGATGTCTGGCTGTCATCTAGTCCACCCCCCTGTTCAGAGCAGGGGCAAAAGCTAGTTCAGGCTGCTTGGGGATGTGTCAGCTGAGTTTGGAACATCTCCAGGGATGGCAATTACACCATTTCTCTGGTACACTGTTGCACGACCCTGTCTGTGCAAAATATTTTCCATATGTCTAGTCAGCATTTTCCCTTCCACAAGCTGTACCCGGTGCCTCTTGTGCTTTTGCTATGTACCCCAGAAAAAGACAACATTATTTTGTCATCTCTATAACCCTTCTTTAGAAAGTAGAATTACATCTTCCCTCAGCCTCTTCCCCAGGCTGAACAAACCTGGTCCCCTTGGCCTCCCCTTTCTATCTTGCTATTTTGCTATGGAGTAGTTTATGTTATATAACACTTACTTTATAACTTATTTGTTTGTACTTTATTTTATTTGTAACATTACTTATAATAGTTATTTATTACTGTTATATTACTTTGCAATTTTCTATTTCCTATTTTATATGTCATATCAAAATAATTTCATAAAAATTGTTTATGCTTATCTTTACAGAAAATAACCCCAGGGCAACTGAAAAGTAGTTATTATTGAGTAAAACTCACTAAGGAATAATCTATTTAAATTTCCTTTGATCATGGAACGTTTCCTGCCCTATGTGCTTAGATCCTACATTAGTAGGACAATGCCTTGGGTTAAAACTTTAAATTGAGGTTATTAAATTAGTCAGAATAACTGTACTAAAATGTAAAAGAATTCAAGACTTTTTCATTTCAATCATTAAGATCTAATTCTTCAGACTGTAGGACGGAGCCAGAACAGAGTAAGAATAAAATCATAATTTCAATAGAAGCCATATCCAGAGATGCCGACTGCATTGACTTCACACAAATGCAACTTTTACAGCATCCTCATTGTAAGAATAAGCAAAGGCATAACATGCCAAACTATCACATAGATTCAACTTCAGTTTTAGCATGTGATACAAACTTTATAAGTTTATCAAAGTATTGTTAGGAATAAATTACATTTAAAATCTGCCTAGAGAACTGCAACAGTGACAATCTCTGCTAACCACTTGCAGTGCTGGCATAAGAGCAATGAAATAAAACAGGCAGCCAAGAGTCTTATTATTAAGTGTACCATGCAGCTTAGACACAAGAAACTGTGGTTTAGCTGTGTTTTATATCAACAGGTAGCAAGGATATGTGTAACGCCATTGCTCCTGGAAGAAGGTTGTAAGAATACAAAGAAAACATCTAAGCTGTTGGTGGTTTTGATAGGTACTGAGAGAATGATAGGTACAGGAGAATGGCTAGATTTTTAAATGTTTCTTTTTCTGCTGTGAAGTTTTTTCTAAGCACTTTTATGTTTAAAGGTATGGCTATGAGGGTGGTGAGGCACTGGCACGGGTTGCCCAGAGAAGCTGTGGATGCCCCCTCCTTGGAAATGTTCCAGGCCAGGGTGGATGGGGCTTTGGGCAACGTGGTCTAGTGGAGGGTGTCCCTGCCCGCAGCAGGGGGGTTGGAACTAGATGATCTTTGAGGTCCCTTCCAACCCAAACCATTCTCGAATTCTATGATATTAACTTAATTAAGTTGGGGGGGGGTTTGTTTGTTTTTGTTTGATTTTTTGTTTGTTTGGTTAGTTGGTTTTGTTTGGTTTAAGTTCTGACTATTTGACGCATCTTCCCTGCTACCAGCAAAAATTTGAACGTTGTCTCTTTCTGACCCAGTAGGTATAAGACTTCCACAAAAAAAGATCAAAGAAGTTCCCAAGAGTTTTCATTACTCTGATAAGGAGCTCGAAGGAAAGGGGTGAAGCCCTAGAAAATCCTTGC